CGGCAATGATCATCATGCCACTATGTTGGTCCACCCTCCCCACCCACAACAGTCCCCCCCCCCTCCCCACCCACAACAGCAGAACCACATCATTATTATTACAATATTTGATTGTTGTACAAAATATAAATGATAGGATAATTTATCTTAAAAGGCTAAACACTACAGAAACAATTAATTGTTGGAAATCAGACTCTCTATTGTTTTCATTGAGGTACCAGAGCCAAAAGGTAACACTTTCAACTTGACCGATAGTATTTTTTTTTTGTTTCAACAACCTAGTTCCCAGTAGATTTCTTTCAAAATTTGAAAATAAATCAATAGAACAACTTCATAAAAGGTCTATATCGTACCTATACAATACAAAGAGCAGATATACAGATATAAGTCTGAGTGTTTTCCACAGGCCTTACCAAGCACAGGGGTTAACAAGTAACATACAACAAGTATAAATACATTCCTGCCAAGTAGTAGTCACTGATAATTATGACGAGAAAATTCAATAATTTTCTCCATTCTTAAATTTCCAAAAAAAATGAACACTAGAGGGCACTCATAATCACTAGAGGGCACTTTGTCTGATGTTGAGGGAGAACACTAATAAGGTGTTTGTGGTGGCAGTTGTCATTTGAGGGAGGTGTTAACTGAGAACAGTCAATTATAACTACTTAAACTTGATCTTTACATTATGTGTTGATAATGTCAGTAAAGAAATCATAGTTACATGACTCGTGTCAATTACGCAGACATGACAGTATCTGCAATGTATTCCAGTTTTCAAATCATGCCTCTCATTGAATGGGAGAATAACATCTCCTTGTCAATATCTATTCCGTTGTAACTTCTTCCGCCGCCACTTCCTGTGATTCCTCTGTTGGTGTTTCAGCTTCAACTGCAACCTCAGCATCTCCTGCTTCCATTGGTTCATCCTTTTCCTTTCTTGACCGCTTACTGCGTTTGTGTCGTGAACTTCTGTGTGACTCTGATCCTGTTTCACTACTTTCATGATGCCGCCGACTGGTGAAAATACAGAAAGTCATTCAGTTTTAATCTTGTCTTATTTCTATGTCGTTATTTCAGTAATTTCAGGGATATATGTTTACTCTGTTGCACAAACACCTATCCTAAAAACCTATCACGTATGTTTTTCAAAATACTGTACATGTAAATAATGTATTCATGATATCTGTAACCCTTCTGTATACCCTTGTTAATGAGATGCACATGAATGTTCGTGGGTTGTGGGTAAATCATTTTCTGTGGATTGCTTCACTTTGAAAGCCTTTGCTGAAACATAGTAATTCTGTGTAGCCTAGAATGTATTAACAATTGGAAAATACAAATGGTAACAAGATATCATCTAACCTTCTGGATCTGTGCCGATCTTCTCGATCTTTGTCTCTGTCTCTATCTCTGTCATGACGATCTCTGTGTCTTCTCTCCCGATCTCTGTCTCTGTCCCGATCTCTGTCTCTGTCCCGATCTCTGTCCCTGTCTCTGTCGCGTTCCCGGTCCCGTTCCCTATCTCTGTCTCTTTCCCTATCCTTATCCCGATCCCGATCTCGTGACTTGTCTCTGTTATCTCGTTCCCTCCTGTGGTGTTCCTTATCTCTGGAGGGATGAAGAACATACATGTGTTATCAGAAGTGGATTGCGATAAATTGTCACTAGTATTTTGATAGGAACACTTGTTTAAAATGATAATACCCGGTAGCATTTGATTGGGGGGACGTGTCTAGTGTTTCAACAAGAAATAAAGATTAAATAAAAAGGAAGTGATTGAGGACAGAGTTGAATTTCATCTCAACCAGCTTCCTGTTGCAAGGTTTTAAATTACACAGTTCAAAAGGTAATACACAATTTTATTTGCATAATGGAGGTAAACCGTGACTTGAGTAGGCCCTCCCCGGCTGATCGGCATCAGACCTCACTAAAGCCTGACAGAATAGTGTATGTCTCGTCGACAAGATCAGTACTGCAAATTCACACCTTCATTGCAATGAGTTGCAATGAATATTTATTTTGATCGTTGGGGCAAGTGAAAAACTACATTGTTCTGTCAGGCGTGTGTTGGGTTTGAAGCACTGCGACTCACGCGACCTTGTCAGGCTATGTTTCAACTTTCAGGATATTTTCCTACCAAATTCATATGAAAACCGGAAAACAGTGGGTGGCTTATGAAATGAACAACAATTTTAAGCATACAATAATTGAAATCACCTACAATTGTTTCTTCCATGCACTTGATTTTACAGCAATTCCAGGCACTGATTTGATGCCGAAGTAGTGCTAGATGTTGATAACTTACTACAATAGGTTACACACTTTTTTTTCACATTTACAGAAGTTGTTACAAATAATGCAGACAGCATGTCTGCAATTTGAAGCGCATGAGAAGGAAGCTCCGCCCATAAAAATGGCGGTACATTAGTTTAGAATTTCTCCTCCAATAAACGATTGAGGCTCTCAACTTAGTTTCCTGCTTCAATTTGTGTCGCATGTTATTTCAGTGAGGGCATAAAGTGGTGGCACTGTAAAGAACGTTAGTTAGAGTTATTTTACAGAACAAGCTGACCGATTGATCATGGCAAAAATGTTGTTCAAAGTGCATTATTCCTACTATGGAAATATTCGCCATACATACACCGTCTTCGAGTAGTTTTGTCGAATTTATGCTCGGCATATAATATTCAACATAGTCTATAACGTTGTCAGTCGCGGATTGGTCGCTCTTACGCCTTCCTGGCAGGATACTCTCGTTGTGGTAACAAACCGTTTGACGATATTATAAGCTGTGAAACATCATTTCGATTTCCAATCTTCAACTGGTTTTTTGACTCCTTGCTTCTCCATTGTGGTGTTTAAATAACTTGGACAAATTCTGATTTGTAGACCCGCAATCAACAAGATGACTGAACAAAAGTGAATGAAAGACAGATGCGCCGCAAAGTCTGGGTGCATCAGACTTTGTAGCAAAAATAGAAAACTTTGTGGGCAATATCTGTCAATCATTCTTCTGATTTGCAGTCGATGTTTATATTTCTAGTTGCAACTTATGTAAATGTGAAAACAAAGTGTGTAACCTATTGTAGAATGTTATCTATATCTAGCACTACTTCAACGTCAAATTAGTGCCTGGAATTGCTAAATAATGTATATATTGCTACACTTCAGCTATCAATGCATTAGGAGATTTTAAAGTTCGTGCCCAAGTGCCTACTGTTTGTGTGTCAGGGTCATGTATTACATTTTGTATCTGATTGTTGATTAGAAGCACAGTATTTTTCTTCAATTATTTGTGGTTAAATTTGAGCAACTTTGTTTCAAATGGCACTTATTTCATTCTGGTTATACATTGTATCAACTTAATGGTAATATTACAGTCTGACACATAGTCACTGTAGCCTTTATTTGTATAGGTTATAGAATGACATGCCCTTTATACATGGTTTTGAAGTAACATAATAAAAATTAGTTTAAAAACAAGTGGTACGTACCAGGGGAAGTTAGATGTATTTAAATCTTACCTAGGTTTGTCTCGTTCTCTGAACTCTCGGAAAACTCTTCTTTCCGAAAACTCTCGTGTTTCTTCCTCACTGCATTGTAAATACATAGAAAAAACAAATGTTTAAGGTAGTTCAAAATTGTTACTGAGCATGTTACTGCACATATATGCAATGCATTGTGGGAGAGAAACACTTTTAATTTCTTAGAATCAAAAATGCTAAAAGAATGAGGTACATTTTCTCAAAATCATTGTAAAATGTACCCTGACTTACACATACCTGCTGAAATCACTGTCATCTGACCTGGGTGGACTGCGATCTCCAGGATACCTATTCCAGTCAGGTGGGTACCCACTAGGTGGTCCTCTGTCCCAGTCTCCAGGGGGTGGCATTCCTTGGGTGGGAGGAGGTTGTGAAAATGGTGAATAGCCTTGAATAGGGTCTATTACAAAGATAAGCATTCAAGTCAGGAATATTAAAATATCATGCAGGAATAATTATTCCTACACAAGACTTGAACTTCAACACATTCTGAGGACAAAAGCATCTATTTTAAAGAATACCAACAATCGAGAGAGACATTTCAGTTATTTTGTGAATTCTGAACTCTGTTCACAGCAGAGAGTATACTGTGGAAGTATTAATTTCCCGTCCCCGTTCATATTTGAGTGACATATACATTCAAAGCAGATCATGACCGAAATGCACCTGCATATGTACAACACATTGTACTAAATCTGAACAAAATCCATCCATCCATGCATGACTGAGATCCGGTTCCGGAATTGTGAAAATACGTGATTTTGATGCATTTTCGGCCTTAAAATGGCCATCATTCAGCTATTGTTAAGCGGATCATGAAACAAATGCACATATCTATTTGTGACATGATGTACAATGTGTGTAAAGTTTGAACTTGATCAATCCAGACACGTCTTGGATACGGATCCAGAACTGAATTCTTTAAAACAAAATGGCCGCCAGTCGGCCATTTCGAACTTGATCCGAAAAAAGAAATGACATGCATCAAGTTCCTATTATGTTTAATGTATGTACCACATTTGAACAAAATCCGTCCATGCATAACTGAGATCTACGACATGATGGATCCTATGGATTCAAATCTTAAACTAGGTGACTATTTACATGTATTATATAATAAAGTAATCAAGTGGAGAGCCTAGTGTGCTAAAACAA